ATGATGATGATGATGATGATGATGATGATGATGATAATTATTATTATGATAATAACAATGGTGATAATTATTATTATGATAGTAATAATGGTATTAATAATAATAGTAATAAAATTGCAATGATAATAATGATGATAATAATTATGATAACAATGATAGTAGTAGTAGCAATAATGATCATTATAATGACATTACTGATAATAATGATGGTGCTAAGATAATGATAATGTCGGTAATGCTGATGCTAATAGTAATAACAGTAAAAACAATAGTAATTATAATGATAACAGCAATGATAATAATCAGTAAACCCAATAATAATCATGATGATAATAATGATATCAACGATGGAAATTATGTTCATAATATAAACAATGTCGTAGCATAGTAATAAGAATGAAAATGATAACGTCAAGATAATATTACGCCCAAAACCCGCTTTGGCACCGCCCCTCCATTCCAGCTGAGTCCCCCCTCTCATCTCGCTCGGGTCGCTCCCACACTCCCTCACCGTCGTCATGGCGACCGTCACCGCCAGCTGATCATGAATGCGACCCCAGGAATGAGTCGTACTTCTTCATCTCCTGCTGTGTCATCCTACCAGTACGACCCAGAACATTCCTTTACAGGTGAACAAGCCTTCTCCATGCGAAACGGCAACTCAAGGGCTATATAAAGGAGAAAGTTTGATGCTATTGCGAGGTTTCAGTCCTGGCTGTTTTTGACAGATTGGGTGAGTTGCGTCATGATTTTTTTTCTTTCTGTGTACCTTTCGTTTTTGTTCTTGTTTTGATGAGTCTGTGAATGGCCTCTGGCGTATAGGAAGTAAGGCTTGTTGCTGTTAGTACATGGGCAAATAAACGTTACGTAAACATTATATTTGAGTGTTATGATAGCAATAGTTCTAAAACAGGCAGATTAAGTAATGATTTCATGCAGGTGTATACAGATATTTTAGAGATATTCGTGTGAGTTGAAGAGAACTTGTTGTACGCTTGGTATCCGGAAGTAAAGATATATAAATTTTTGAAACTGTATATGAATCTTGGAAGTTAGAAGAATGAGAGAAAATATGGGTTCTGTATATGAGGAAAATAGTGTATTGTTAAATAGTCCTAGTTGGAACTAATATTAGAAGTGAAATAAAGCAGACATTGTGAATGAAATGGACATTACAGTAGGGAACACCTCATATGTTCAGATTCTTTTCAAATCCTTCAGAATATTCAGCAGCAAGTAATCAGAAAACAGTTTCCATGTCAGATATGATTTTATATAATTTTTATCCTTGGATTTATAACTAGATTCACTTTTATGAGATACTGTAATTGCAAGTTTAAGCATTATTATTATGTATACTAAATTTTAGGTATATAATTTAGGAATATTATGCAATGATATTCTCTACGTCAAGAAATATGTGAAAATTACTGAAATACTAGCAGTGACTCAAACAATAAGTGTGGTATATGTACAGCTGGCAGTTTGGCACAGGACAACAAATATCCACCAAGTGTATTTTGGCAAGAGAGGGCATGGACTATATCCTTATTTGATAACAAATACTAAGAAGTTTAGTAATCTCTGTCTTGCCAGAATGTATGTGGTGGAAATTTGTTGGCCTTTCCTAGAGCACCAAAGATGCATTGTCCATGGCGATTGCTTGAATCACTCCAGGTGTTTCTGTATGTTTTACTTTGAAATTTCATTCTATAAATTGCAGATCACAGAAAGTTGCAAGTGGATTTAGATAGAAGACAGGCCATTCATTGTGAGGAAAAATGTCCAGGTTTGGAAGGCAATGTGAATGTAATAGTAACATCTGTGTAAAATGCCTTAAGGTTGCTTCATCTGCAGTTTACTTTCACTACTTCACGCAGAAAATATTCATTTGATTGGAATGTGGAGGATTTAGAAAAACAAAATCTAAAGCACTACTGAAAGTAAATTTTTGTGTAATACAATATCACATAATTGTTTTTTGAGTAGCTTGTGGATACTCTATTTAAGGAAGTAATTTATAGTGGTCTGTTTGCCAGTAAGCAGTTATTTTATTAAATTTATGATTATTTTTAATGATGGCTTTGAGATAAAGTTCGAGATTAATGTATTTTTGGACCTATTCATATTAAAGGAAAGACAAGAAATCAGTGATCTGTTGTGAAATGTTACTATTTTTGTAGGATATGAAATATTAGGTAGGCAAAATGGAAAATGTTTTTTGAAATAGTAAGAAAAAAAGAATTAGTGTAGTGTTGCACATTCCAAATATTCATAGAACCCAATTGATTATGTTAGCTGAGTTTATTATTGTAATACTGTGCTTAACGAGTTTCAGTTACTCAATATATACAATGAAGAAACTGGTCAGAAGATATGTTAAAAAGTATTGTAATTTTAACTTTGCAGGTTTTGTCTCATTGAAGTTGTTGGAAGGATTTTAGAAAAAAGAATTTACATTCTACATCTTCACAAGTTTGCTGCAAAAAATTGAGACCTTCATGATGGCTTCGACCCTCACATCTGAGAAGAGAGAATATTATGAGGAGCAGGAGAGGTAAGTACATAATGTAATTATTGATTTTTTTTATTAAGAATTGCCTCTATCAGGTAACAATATTTTGCTGAATATTTTATATTTCATTTCCTTTATTACTGGTAAATGAATTCTTTACTTTTGAACATTATGCTGTGTTGGAAAAATATATAATAAAGAATTAACAAAGGAAAGGATGGATAGTGAAAGTATTGACAGATGGATAGATTGAGTAATGGATTTGTGAATGGTTGGATGATCATTCAGTTGGATGAATGGAGAGTCATGAATAAATTTGCTTGCTTATGATATAGATATAGTCATTTGCAACAAGCATTATATATTTAAAAAATCTACATATAGATACAAATGCAAAGATTAAAATAAAGATGTTAGTACTGACTGAATAGACTGTGAATGGAGGAATTTGCAAATAATTTAGAAAATGAGTTGAGTATATAAATTGATACAGTTTTTTGTTTGGCATATATATCTGTGCTTACAGAACATTAACTAGTGCTTAGTAAAAAAAAAGAAACAAGGAAAGATGTGAAACATTTGCTCAGATGTTGTTGGCTTTGAATTTCATTAGTTGGCAAATTATCAAATGTCTTGACAGACTGACCTCATAAGATGGAGCCAGTTACACTCTCAATAGAATTGCAAGAGTGTTTCAGATGTCTTAAGGTCTGCACTTAGCTCATACAACCAGCTTTATCTTAGTGGTAAGAGGCCATTAGCATCAGGAGTCATGTCGTGAACAAGATGCTATCGGAGAGATCAAAATGTGGCCTTAGGAGGATAATGATAAGGAAGTGTTTTGCAGTTTATTTATACTTTGATTTTCTTCTTTTGTGAAATAGATTAGATATGTTAAATCATGTTTTGATAGCGTAATTATAGATAACTCATTCTGAGTGTGACTTGTATGTCTAGTATTTTTTGTAAGGGCTTTATTACAGTCTTTTGCATTAATTAATAGTAAACCAGACTTGTGATATCTTTCTTTCTTATAAGCACGTCATGACTTGTGCAAGGAATGTGTGGTTTTTAAGGTGTTTCGAGCAGAGCGGTGAGAGTAAACATTTGGTGAAGGAGGGCTATGAATTAGTGGATAGGCAGGATGATTGAAATTGGTATGAGCTGTATGTCTCTTCTTTGTTTAAGTATAGAGAGGTGCAGACACTGAGAGACCAGGAAAAAAGGCAGGCTGTCAAGCAAACACACAGAGAGGGAAGTAAGTAGGCAGGCTAGCTGGTAGCAGGGGTTATGTGCAGGCAGGGCAGGCAGGCAGGCAGGCGGCAGGCAGGCAGGCAGGCAGGCGGCAGGCAGGCAGGCAGGCAGGCAGGCAGGCAGGCAGGCAGGCAGGCAGGCAGGCAGGCAGGCAGGCAGGCAGGCAGGCAGGCAGGCAGGCAAGCAGGCAAAGGCAGGGAGGGCAAGCAGGCAGGCAGCAGGCAGGCAGGGCAGGCGGGAGGCAGGCAGCAGGCAGGCAGGCAGGCAGGCAGGCAGGCAGGCAGGCAGGCAGGCAGCAGGGCAGCAGCAGGCAGGCAGGCAGGCAGGCAGGCAGGCAGGCAGGCAGATGTCCGAAGGTCAATAGGAAGAGAATATGATAATGTGAAAAACTCTGGGAGATAAACTTGTGATAAAGGACGAGATTGAATGATTTGAGAGAGGGGCCAGACAGGCAGCAGGGGCGGACGGACGGGCGGACAGGGGCGGACGGACGGCGCGGCGATAGACAGATAGACAGCAGGGGCGGACGACGGATAGACAGCAGACAGACAGACAGACAGACAGACAGAAAGACAGACAGACAGACAGACACAGACGCAGGGGTGGACGGACAGACAGGCAGACAGACAGACAGACAGACAGACAGACGAAGACAGGCAGGCCGGACGGACGGCAAAAGGACAGGCAGATAGACGTCAGACAGGCAAACTGCTGGGCGGACGGACGGACAAAGGACAGGCAGACAGACAGACAAATAGACGGCAGGACGGACGGACGACGGATACGACGGGCATTCAAGCAGGGAGGAAGAAGGAGAGCAAAAGAGGCGATCATTCTCCCCAAACTCCGCATCGAAAGCGCAGCACCAAGAAGACGCCGAACGCAGTGCATCCCGAGTCCTGTCGAGCGGCTGTTTGTCCTCCCGCCATCGGACCAAATTACGTCAGTCGTGCTTAAGGGCCGTTGGTTCTTCGCTCCCATCGATCCGGGTCGCGGCGCGGGTGAAGGAGGTCGCAGGATGGCAGGAATTTCGAAAGGGGCGAGCGGGGCGGCGCGGCGGACGTGAATGAAAATCAGGATACAGGTGGTCTGCGGGCGAGTGGGGCTCCTGGCTCGGGCTTTGATGGCCTGCTTAGAGAAATGGCTCGTAACACAAAGGCGGGCATGTGCGAGCCGCTGACCCAGACACTGAGCCCCAGATTCGCGGTACACCATTCTTATCTAATCCGCCCCTCTGTCGCGCCCCACCACCCCCGCCCTCCGCTCCCGCGCCCATAGCCCCTTCTACATCCACCTCCACCCCCTAATCTGTGTTTCCTCCACCTTCGTCTACGCTCCCTCGTCCTCCCCATCTCCACATCTCCACATGTACTCCGGACCGCCCACTCTAACTCCACTGTCGCCTCCACCTATCTTTGCACCTTCAGCCATGGCGTCTTCACCTCCTCGACCCCGACCCCGACTTCGCCCTTAACTCCCCCATCATCACCTCCGTCTAAGTCCACCTTCAACTCCATATTCATCTAGTCTTCACTTCCTCCCGTGCGCTACATTAGCCTCACCTCCACTTCCACGCCTCTTCTGCCTCTCCACATCCACCTCCAACTCCACTCCTCTCCTGCCTCCACCCCCACCCATCCACCCCCACCTCCACCGCCTCTCCACTCCATCTCCATCTTCACTCTCTTCACTTTCACCTTCACTCCACCACCCCACCTCTCCCCTCTCCGCCTCCGCCTCCGCCTCGCTCTCGCCCATCTCCACACTTCCACCTCACCTCCACCTCCACTCCACCACCACCACCACCACCACACCACCTCACCTCCACCTCCACCACCAACCTCCACCACCCCTCACCTCCCACCACCTCCACCACACCCACTCCCACCTTCTCCTCCACCTCCACCTCCACCACTTCTCCTCCACTTCCACCACCTTCTCCTCACCTTCCACTTCTCCTCCACCTCCACCACCACCTCCACCACCTTCTCCTCCACCTCCACCACTCTCCACCTCACACACCTCCACCACCACTCCACACCACCTCCACACCACCTCCGCCTCCACCGCCTCCTCCGTCACCACCAAACAAGGGTTGCTGCCATTATGACGTTTTCCGTTGCGTCATAATATATATATATATATATATATATATATATATATATATCGTGTGTGTGTGTGTGTTTATATATATATATATATATATATATATATATATATATATATATATATATATATATAAAGTAACAGATTCTTTTACCAATTGGTTGATTGATATTTAAGTAATCAATTGATGCGCACGTTCATCTGCACACATACTCGGCCGCGCACTGGTTCACTAACACGCACACATGTATACATGTGCGTGTATGTATATATATATATATATATATATATATATATATATATATATATATTTTATATATATATGTATATTTGTATATATATATGTATATATATGTATTTATGCATATATATATATATATATATATATATATATATATATATATATATATATATATATATATATGTATATGTATGTATATGCACACACAGGCACACATGTACATATACATATATATGAATGTATATATATATTATATATATATATATATATATGTATATATATATATATATATTATATATATATAAGCATTTTTTTTTGTGTGTGTGTGTATGTGTGTGTGCGTGTGTGTGTGTGTGTGTGTGTGTGTGTGTGTGTGTGTGTGTGTGTGTGTGTGTGTGTGCGTGTGTGTGCGTGTGTGTGTGTGTGTGTGTGTGTGTGTGTGTGTGTGTGTGTGTGTGTGTGTGTGTGTGTGTGTGTGTGTGTGTGTGTGTGTGTATACACACACATATACATACACATACGTATCTGAGTGTACATACTATCTATATGCATGTATACTTGCACACATACAGTATACATGAACTCCTCCATTACGCCTGAATACCCGAGATGCCTTCGCACCGGCAGTGTAGATGTCGTGTTCCTACACAGTCGCCCGGGAGTAAGTATATGTGTCAGGATTGGGGGTGCGTGTCCCGGGCCATAAAACAGCTCTCCGCCCGTGCCTTGGCGTGTACAGGCGGGCTCTGGGTCTGCATCGTGCATAGCTGCGGCCTTTGCGTCCCGTTGCAACCACCGGCCAGTTCGGAGCAGCTCGTTCGTTCGGTCGTAAATATCTGGCGAGTTGTGGCCCGGTCGGGAGGGCTGCCCCCCGCTCGCAAAAGTTCCGAGTCCGTGACCCCGTTTCGTCTCCGGGGCTATTTCGGGGACGTCGGCGCGGGGGAGGGGGAGGGGGGAGAGGGAGGGAAGGCAAGAAGGGTTGTATTATCAAGGTAGACCGTCATGAGTGCACGTGTCCGTCGGTCGAGGGGGAATCGAAGTCAGGTTCAAGTATTTTGTCAGGGAAAAAAAAGAGTTATTTTCTTGGCGTATCGTGTGTGATGACGACACAGACGCAGAGAAATGGCAAAAAATCGCTTATAGGCGAAGGTGGAGCTATTTTTTTTCTGAATATGCCTACTGAAATTGGGATGCGTCTTGTATGCCGTCAAATGCGGCAGACAGAATTTTCACGGCGCAGTTCAGTGAAAGCATACAAAAATAACATGAAGAATGATTTATAATAACAAGGAAGGGCGAGGATCTAGCACACCATGTGGCGCGATGCACCCGTCTGTCTCGGCGGCCGCAGAATGCAGCCCAATTAGCATGAACACGATTATTC